AATCTTAATCAATTAAGTATAATTCTATTGATTTGAAAATTTATATATGTATACTTTTGAGTAAAGAATCTGATACACCACAAAAAAAGTTAATATCATAGATTGTTTTTACTTGTTGATAAAATTCAGCTGGATCAAGAAAATCACGAACTAATTGAGGTATATCTAGTACTTCTTCATTTCGTTTCTGTTGTTCTTTTAATTGCTATTAAATAAATGATGATAATACTATGAATCCATTATTACTCTAGATATTTTATGGATGCGATGGAGAATAGAGCTCTATCGGTCTACCTGATCTATGATATCCCACTTCAGCTAATATTATAAGAATAAAATTTCAACAGAGCTTGCTTGATTATCATATACCAACGGTTATTAATTTTCTTTTTGTTGTTCTTCTCTATAGTATCTATTAATACCTCATCGTCTATACATACACATAAAAATCATGACTAATGAACAATACAGACTTGTTCAATATTTTCAGATGTTGCTTCAATAACAAGACTATCAGATCGTACTTCGCCTTCAGCATCTTCTCGACTTTCACAAAACCATTTCGACCATTCTTCAATGGTCTTAAGAGAAGGCGTTTCATCACCACAAGTAAAACATAGTTCTTCGTGAATATCTTTCGCTTGAATATTAAGTGCAGTACGCACTTTAATGTAGAAGTGAAAATTTTCTTTATTCATCTAAAACAGAGATGAATACCGTCAAGATTTAATCGAATGTTATTTTTTAAGTTTCTCGAGAGACGGATGCCTAAGGATTAAGGAATATGAGTTTCTGTTCAATTCTCCCACAGTTTCTTGAATACTACAATGAAAAACAAAATATAGTATCCACGATATTTTTTTACTCTCACATTCAAATAGTCATAGCGACGTTGACAAATCTTCTGCAAATTCAGAATCCATTTTTCTCAGTTCCTGAACATCTTTAGATCAAATCTCGTATTTTGTTCAGTAGTAATGCGATTGACAGGTATTTTCGTTTTATTTTTAAATAAAAATAATGAGCAAGAGGTCGCCCTACCCTCATCGTTAATTTTTTTACGTATTGAGGTTAATTTAGCAAATTAAAATTCGAAAATAGAACTATATTTTTGATATTATATATATATATATATATGTTACATTATTTAAATACGACGTATTGCCAATAATGATTACGTTGATTTGCTGATTCTTGACGATTTCTATAATCAATTATCTTGAACTATTATTTCATATTGTCGGTTAGATGTGGGAAAGATCGAAAGGAAAAATATCGAATATTCAATGAACAAGACATTCTTAATTTTTGACATGAGACTAACATCATAACACAGACTACACACAAGTCACGAAATAAAAAGAAAAGAAAATTTTAGAAAGTTTTATTTTTTTTTTGTTTAGCAACTATAGATGACAAACCACCTAGATATTCCATTTTATTTATCAGCTCATTATAATAGCGTTCATTAAAATTATTTATACATTGTTGAATTGTTATTATTTTACTCTTATAGTGAAGTGAGAATATATTCTTTTTCTAGAAGTTGACAGCCACATTGTAATCAATTGATCATTCGAATTTTATGAAAACTTTCAATAAGCTTACATATCGAAAACAGTTGTTTGTCATGGTAATATATTTTCATTTGTATAATACTACTTTATTTTTCTGATTATTCTAGCTAGCTCTTCTCTGTCAAATATTACTCATCATCTTTACTAATACAACTTTTTTTTTGAACATTTTCTTGTTGCAACATTTTTCTTTTCGATCTTTCTATTACTAGAGCCAAAAATGTTTTTGGTACTCTGATAAATAATACGAAAATTAGATACTAAGATAAATAAATAATAAATCATTATAATACGCAAAATGATCTATAGATTCTTTGATATATCATTGAAACTTTTGAGGACGAAATTTTATTTTAACTGTCACCATCCTGGCATAAAAATTATGTATTAGGTTTATAATAATTTTAGACATTCAAGCTCAATTTTCAGAAATGTTCTTTTTCAAGTTCTTTTATATACGTTATCTTCCATAGTTTTACCCATTGTTGCAAGCAAATAGATTATTTGATAAAGTCAAAAACAATTTGACTTCATCAATGAGACCAGAAAAAGAAGAGTCAAAATCTTCTAATATATTCTCGAAAGACACTATGTCTATCAAAAAAAAGAGACACATGATGATGATACTCTACAGTATCAGCAAGAACAACGAGTATCTGACAAGAATGAAAGAAAGAAAAAGGATGTGGGTGCACACTTTAACTAACTCCAGACCACACTCGCACCCACACTCTCAAGAATGACCGAGATCAGAATTGAACAATTCAATGCAAAAAGGTTGATTCAACTTAGTTCAAATCTTAAATTGAGTGTAATCACATCATAACAATTTTCAAAATTGATGAATTCAGTTGAGCTGAATTGACTAAAACGTTTCAAAAATTGCAAGTTTAGTCAAAAAACTCTCTTTGAATGAATTAAATTAAATTGTATGCAGTTGATCATCTGTATATCCTGGATGACTAATTCTGACTGAGATCTTAACAATCTTTAATCGTCTCAATTAACTTTCATTCCTATTAGAAACTCTTAATTCTAACAAAACTATAATCTTTGAAATGAAACATTATTCTTACAGCTAATGTAATAATATCCGCAAGACTTTGATTAACAGTTAATGAATAAGCTTTTATATCTTTTATTTGATTCATCGCTTGTTTTTTAATTTCACATGATTCTTCAATTAATTTTGTTGCGTCTTGAAATACTTGTATAACATATGATGTAAAAGCAAGTAAATTTCCAACAAGTGGTAAACTATTTTCATTCAATAATGTTGCTTCTGTTGAAATATTTGTATTATTTAAATTTCAATTAGATAAAGTTACTGGATTGTTTTGAAGCGTACGTGATAGACGAAAACCAACAGTTAATAATAGTTGAGGAAGTACTGCCAATGGTTATTGACGTTGTTGTAAATTATCTAATCTATAAAAAAACAAACAAACAAATAATATTGCATAAAATGATTATTTACTTTTCAAAACGAGCCAATTCAAATGTTCTCTACCAATTTTAGTTACATGTTGACGAACCTCATCAAATTTCTAAATATTTTAATTAATACAAAAAAATCATTCAAGATTTTTTATATCTGTATTTGATCAATAATATTAAATGATATTTTTCTGCAGCAAGTCTATCATCAACACCATCTGGTTCCTATTGATCAGAATACAAATATCTTTTAAAAATATAAAATAAAACTAGCGCTTCTCGTTTTGGTTTTTTTTTTGTATTTTAACACTCTCTTTATTAATTATTAAATCTTTTCGAATATGTTCAATAGCTGCTTCTGTATATTCTTTATGTTTTAATAATGATTTTATTTCTTCATTAACATCACTCCAACATAAAAGTAATTTAGCAACAACAATATGACATTGCCGAGCATAAAGAAAAGCTTCTGTATTACTCAATTCATTAAGCATGTCACGTACATATGGTAATGGATCAATATCTGAATTAAATATTTATATTGACTTATTTTTAATTAAAATATTACCTTTGCCAAAGAGAATATTTTAATCACTTTGTTCAATCGTTTTTAGCATTAATACGAACATCAGCCATTGTCTCTTGCCGCCAATCATCATTACTAAGTAAACTTCGATCTAAACATTGTAGTTGTTGTTCAATTATAGCTGGTGATGATCGACTTAGTCTTTTTATTTGTTTTTGTTTTAATGGTTCCTTATCAAATGTAAGACTTCTTGATAGCATTTGTTTTCCATTCTTATTATTAGTATGATCATCATCATCATCCTCAAATAATGATGGTCTTTGCATTTGACATGGTATATTTGGCCAAGATGAATTTATCATCTTGTTAAATTTTAATATTGTTCTATGTGAAACAAATTGAATTTCTTTTTCTAATGCTTTTGTATATAGTAGTTAATTAATAAAAAAACGTTCTCTTTTACAAAATTGATGTTAGCGAATCAGTAACCATTATCGATTCGATTTCTATTCTTTCTTTTTACACGCGACTATTTAAAATTTTTTCTATGCTTAAAGACATGCAACGGCTACATATATTTGATTGCTTCAAGACTAAACATCAGCAACATTTCATTCAAAAAGTCCATGACAACCAAACATATCGACATTTGCGCAATAGGTTGCTGTTAAGAAAGTAGTAGGGTGCGGCTGTGGGCGTGAGTGTATGTTCTATCTATAACCACACCCACATATACTCTCGATAAGTATGGTGCCTCTTGAGCACCAAGAACATTATATTGAACAATCAATATCGTCAGTTCTTAGATGAAATAAAGAATATCTCAACATGAGATAAATAAGAGACGAAGTTAATTCACTTTTTAATCTTATTATACACAAGAGATTTATTGT